TGTATAGCCCTTCAAGATTGGATGAGATCCTCCAAAGCACAAACAATCTCTCGTGGTACCTCTCAGGTACCTGAGTATCCACTTGACTACTTCTAAGTGTTCTTTTCCAGGATTTTCAAGAAACCTGCTGACAACACCAACTGCATGAGTAATATCAGGTCTGGTGCATACCATTGCATACATCAAGCTTCCGACTGCTGAAGAATAAGGAACTCTAGCCATGTTCCTTTTCTCCTCTACTATTGTAGGACACATCTTCTTGCTCAACTTTAGATGACTAGCAAGAGGTGTGCTGACTGGCTTAGCATTCTTCATGTTGACGCGTTCCAGTACACGTTCAATGTACTTCTCCTGAGACAGCCACAACTTTCTACTTGTTCACTCTCGAACTATCTTTATACCCAAAATTTGTTGTGTTGGACCCAAGTCCTTTATATCAAATGACTTGGACAAATCTCCCTTCAACTTTGCGATCAGCCCCTTGTCTTTTTCTACAATTAACATGTCATCCACATACAACAACAAAATAATAAAATTATTGTCAAAAAATCTTTTGAAGTATACACATGGATCAGAATATGTCTTTGTGTAAGTTTGACTTTTCATGAATGAGTCAAACTTCTTGTACTACTAACATGGTGCATGCTTCAACCCATAAAGACTCTTATTCAGTTTGCACACCATGTGTTTCCTTTCAGCTATTTCAAATCCTTCTGGCTACTCCATATAAATCTCCTCTTCTAAATCTCCATGAAGAAATGCAGTTTTCACATCCAACTGCTCCACTTCAAGATCTAGGCTAGCTGCTAAGCTCAAAATTGTTCGAATAGAAGTCATTTTGACAACATGTGAGAGAATTTCATCAAAATCAATACCTATCTTCTATTCGAAACATTTTACCATCAATAGAGCTTTGTATCTGACCAGCTTGCCATTTCCATCTTTCTTGAGTTTAAAGACCCATTTGCATTTGAGTGGTCTTTTACCCTTTGGAAGTTCAACCATCTTGTACGTGCCATTTTTCTGTAGAGATTCCATCTCTTCTTGTATGGCTTTCATCCACTGGTTCTTTTCTGGATGAGACAGCACCTCCTTAAGACTTTCTGGCTCCCCTTCATCACTGATGGGGACATACTCCATGGAAGGGTACTTGCATGACTCTACCCTTGGCCTCTCTGATCTCCTCAGAGGTTGAGGTTGTTCTTATTCCTGAGTGGGGTGCTCCACTTGCTCGACACCATCATCAAGTTGCTCCTCCTGCTCAATAACCTCATCAGGTTGCTCCCCCCTGCTCGGCAACCTCGTCGGTCGTACTTTCTGCACTTGTGGGATAGTTAGAAGAAGAAGGAATGGTAACAAGGTTAGGAATTATACCATTCTTGGCCTTCTCTGACATATCATCAGCAGTTCCAACTTCACTTTCTCGGAAGACTACATCTCTGTTTTTGATGGCCTTCTTCTTTACAAGATCCCACAATCTGTATCCAAACTCTTCATCTCCGTATCAATGAATATACATGGAACAGATTTATCATCTAGCTTTGTTCTCTGCTCCTTTGGTACATGCGCAAAAGCTCTGCAACCGAACACCTTCAAATGCGAGTAAGACACCTCCTTGTTGGTCCAAACTCTCTCTGGGATGTCAAATGCCAACGGAACTGATGGACTCCTATTGATCAGGTAATAGGTTGTCTGAACTGCTTCACCCCATAATGACTTAAGCAGTATAGCCCTTCTGAGCATGCTTCTCACCTTCTCTACTATGGTGCGGTTCATCCTTTCGGCTACGCCATTGTGTTGTGGAGTTCCAGGAACTGTCTTTTCATGTCTGATCCCATGGCTCGAACAGTACTCTTCAAATTCCCTTGAAGTGTACTCACCTCCATTGTCACTTCAGAGACGCTTTAACTTTTGGTTTGTCTCCCTTTCCACTAGAGCATGAAACTTCTGGAAAAAAACTTGAAACACCTAATATTTGGTTTTCAAAATATAAACCCATAATTTTCGTGAAGCATTATCAATAAAAGTAACAAAATATTTGTTACCGCCCATCGATTCAATTTCCATTGGACCACAAACATCAGAATATACTAAATCAAGTATATTCAATTTTCTTTCAGACGATGTCTGAAATGAGACTCTATGCTGCTTACCAAATAAACAGTAGTCACAAGGTTTTACCGTTGTACATTTGGCATAAGAAATGAGTGATTTCCTGGCAAGAATCTGCAATCCCTTCTCGCTCATATGACCCATTCTTTTGTGCCACAAATCTGCAAAAATCTCATCTTGTGCCGCGTTCAATTCACCTTGGCATATTTCACGAGCAACTCCCTTTGCAATCACAAATGATCCCTTGGTGAGTCTCCACTTTTGATTTGCAAAATAGTTCTCGTATCCATCTCGGTCTAAAGTAACTCTCGGGATCAAGTTCATCCGCAAATCAGGTACATGTCGCACGTCCTTCAGAACCAATGTGCATCCGACATTTGTCTTGATACAAATGTCACCAATCCCCGCAATCTTTGAGTAACTTGTGTTACTCATTCTCACAAGGCCGAAATCACCTGCTACATATCCGCAAAAAAAATCTTTTACCGGTGTGGCATGGTAAGATGTTGTTGTATTAACCACTCATTCCGACTCTGGACCTGATAAGTGCATGCATTCCTCTTCATCATTTATAAAGAGGACAACATTATCATTGTTTTGCACCATGGCGGTTGTGTTGTCGTCATTCTTCCGGCCACTGGTTTCACCTTTGCCCTTCCTTGGATTTGGGCAATCTCTTTTGAAGTGACCTGGTTGATCACAATTTTAGCAATTTCTAGCTCTTGATTTGGATCGGTTCTTAGACTTTTCACGAGCTCCGGATCTACCATAGTTGTTTGAATTCCTTTGATAACTCCTGCCTGTACCTTCTGTGATGAGAGCATGTCCTTGATTTTCAGGCTTCTTTCTCATCTTCTCATTGAGTAGAAGAGCCGATGTGACATCTTTCAACTCAAT